TTGCTCTTCTTTATTTCTCTTTGGTGCTATACAAGTGGGGTGGGCACACCCAGCTTTTCACGCATGTCAAGTGGCTGCCCTCACCCCCCCCCCCTAGATTGGCTACACTCCCCCTGGCTCACGAACTCCCCAATTCTCGTGACAGTATAGTAGCGAGCAGCAGTCCCACTGACATACATTTCCTGTTCAAAAAATGCGGCGTGCCACGCCCCGGAAGCCGCACGCGTGCCCATCCTACTTGTATAGTACAGCACCTTTCTCTTTCTTTATTTTCTTATCTACTTTCTTTCTTTTTTATTTCTTTATTCTTTGTCGCATTCTGTCTTAGTGAACCTTCTCCCGTTCGAAGGATATAGGGCTGTGGGTCGCTAGGACAGAAAGCGACTTTTTCGCGTTTCGCAGCGCGAAACATTGTTCGTTGCGGGAATCTCGGGTCCACTGATGATTCGCTGCGGGAACCTCGGGTCCACTGATGATCAGCGGTGGAGAGGCGCCCGCAGCGGAAAATGTTAGTTAGTTTGGAATATGTCGTAGAGGTCGCCTCAGTACTTCCTTCCATGTATCTAAGCGATATTTCCAGGAATGCATTGTTTGCGTCAGTGGAGGAAATGACAAGCAAGGTTTCACTATGAAGCAGGGAGTTGAGCAGCGGTCGAGTCCGTCTACTGCTCGCTGACTATTTTTATCGACCAAGAAAGGCTGGAGAGCGAAAAAGGAAGTGTGTTCGTGGATGCATTGTTGACGCCAACCTGTCCGTGCTGTCCCTCGTCATGGTAAAGGAAGGTGAGCTTTGCACTTTTCTTGAATTTATCATATGCTTTAATGTTCTTCTTTTAATTCTTTCTACTGCAGATGTGGCTACCCTTTCGAATATTCACCATGAATCGGTTGATGCCGACTTTTTTTTGTGCGTGCCCAGAAAGAAGTTTCTTTGCCCTCTTAGTTATTTTGCTTCCTACGACTTCTTTATACGCTGTAAAAACTTAGCGACATTATAGTGATGGAAAACAAGAGCAGGAAGCTCTGTATCCTCAAAAATCCCTCGTAATTTCATATTCCATGTGAAGTTCTGAAAACGGTCGACCAATACTGCAGAGGGAGTTCTGGTACAGGAAAGCACGAGGCATTTCCGAATTGTATCAGTAAACTTAAGTTCATTTGTCCGCAATCACTCAACCGAGAAAAAAAAACTCCTGTAACTATATAGTGAGCTGTACCGAACGTCAATACTATTCCAAAAATACTGTGTAGGTCATTTGCTCCAGCACCCCCAATATTTTTCGATTGCTCAAAAATTTCATTGTTTATTAGTTGTAGCAATCGTATTTTATGCGCTTAGGAAGGTTTTAGACATAAAACAATTTAAATCAAAATTTCTCACTATCAAGTAAAAATAAGCGTTCATTGAGCCTGGAGAGTAGATTTCAGGTTTACCATACAAACAAACCTCAACATCATCCTTAACTTTTAGGCAACCAAGATATTGAAGGATTAACAGACAAGGTTTTGCCTCGCCGTCTCGGTCCCAAGAGGGCAAGTAAGATTCGCAACTTGTTCAACCTTTCTAAGGAGGACGATGTGACGAAGTTTGTCATCACTCATGAGAAAGCCCGTGGAGAAGGTGAGACAGTTCTCGTGCAGTGTGCTGTTTTTGCTCTTCAGTGCACAATTTCTACCTAATGTAGAGAATGAGCATGAGAGGAGTTAAGACAACTATCTGCAGTATCTACCTTTAGGCTCTGACCTAAGTGTGATGCTTCCATGTAATGTGGCTTTGGGTTCGTAGCTAGATGAAATGAATTCGAATGCTTTGTTGAACGTTCTTTTAGAAACAACATGAGTTTAGTGCTAGTTGTGCTTAGGAAAACCTTCCCGTATTATCGCAACAACCTTCCCCGTATTATCGCAACGAAAATCCGGAGACTCATCACGCCGACCGTCTTTGGAAGACATAAGGCCCAAGGAATAAGACACAACAGCGTAACAAGTCTTACGAGGAAGCTGCTGCATATAACAAACTCATGACCAAGTTTGCACAGGTGAGGTTCTCGTTGTTCCCTACTGTCGAATGCTCCCCTCCCTATATTCAAATTCAGGAGGTGAAGGATCAAAAAGTCGACCGTAGAAGATCATCCGCCTCGAGGTCACCCGAAAGTGATGTGAAGAAGGCTGCCAAGAAGTAATCGGGATTGTTTCTTGTTATGGACGTTTGTTTCTACTATAAATGTTATTATTGTTTGCTGTCATTAACGGCTGGTAAATTTCTGAGACTGACTTTTGACCATTGGAAGCTACGTTCACACAGGTACAGTTTTTGGCTCTAGTTCGTCGCTTGGCGAACTGTATCAGATGTGGTTGTTGTTATTAGTTGTAAGGCTTAGTTCGCCATCCTGGTATCAACCAAATAACAAACACCTTGGTATTACTTGTGGCGATACTTGGGGAATCAGATCTTGAGATCAGTCAACTGTCTTATGGTTATTCGGGCCGTAGGCAGGGTCAACCGTCACGTTGGACCGATTTCAAAATTTTTACGACCCCCCTCTAGGAGAGTCTCCATACGACCCCCACTGCTAAGGAAAAGGCTAACACTAGGGAAGTAAGTGCAATCTACAAAAAATCTAAAGACACTTGGCTTGAATTCAAACACAGTTAGCAAGCTCTAGTTTCCTGATATCCGGTAATTTACTAATGCATAACATCGCAAAACGAACTGCCTTCATTAGTTGCTAAACAGTACTGCCCTTTAGTTCGAATGGCGCTTTGCCTGCCTTTCATGAATGGGCGTTCAGAATCACAAAAAATTTCCATTTCGATATGCAAGCGCATATCAAACGAGTGCATGGCGCATCTCAGAGCATGAGAGTATACAGCAGAAGTGTCCGATTGGAGCACGGGAGCGTTGCGTTCGCATTGGCGCGCGCAATCTTCCCCTCGGCGCAGCGCGGGCAGCGAGAAACAGACTATTGACTTTCAAATAAGCGTAATTTTGTTCAATATCAATATTTCTCAAAACGCTAAGTAGATTTGTAATCTACAAAACTGCTTGTTTCAGAAGGTAACCACGATTATGCCTTATCTTCAAAACTACGTCAGTTATGGGGTAGAGAACAAAGAATTCACAGAAATGCGCACTTCTTCATTTGAAAGGTTGTAACTTTCTTCAAAGAAGGAATTATGAGGAGCGGTAAGAAAATTTGGAAAGCTCAGACTGTTTTCTTTCTAAAAAGTGCTCAAGCTTTTGCAAAAACTCTTTCCTTCAAAAAATCGCCCCGTTGGACCGTTTTTTTTCGCAAGACCAGGTTTTTTGGCTTTCAATGGCTATAACTTTCTTCAAATTCCACCTTTTGCAATTCTTGTCCCCCTGGGTTGAAGAAGAAGGTTAGAGCTTTCTAACGAATACTTGAACTCCTTTCAAAGTTGAGGAGTCAAAAAATCGCCCCGTTGGACCGTTTTTGGGAAATCGCGGACCGATTTTTTGCAGAGCGCTGGTTTTTTGGCTTTAAATTGTTATAACTTTCTTCATATTGAACTTTCTGCAGTT